ACCTTTGTATGTGAATAAAATTTAGAATAATTGGCCAGAGCAGTGACATTCCATTTTGTTCAGTTATGTACATTTATTTTAAAAGCTTAATTTATTGTTCATGCTTGTAAAAAAAAATATTAGAGCTCATTATTACAAATAAAGTGCAGAAGAGCATATTTTATATTTTTGTAATAAACCAAAACAATATACCGGTATGTAAAAGTAGAGAAATGTATAAATATAATGGAGATTTATATATTGTATGTTATTTTTTGTAACAGCTATTGTGTCAAAGCTTATTTTGCTATCTCTGTTTATTGTTAACGTAAATAAGTCCCTGAATATGTACATACTGATTCAATATGAAGACCATGCTAATGCATTTATCTGCATACATGTGTCTCACAATTTTTTCTCTAGTAATATATAGCAAAGTCTTTAAAAAGATGGTGGTATCATTGCTGTTTTCTTTTCAAACAAAAGTATAGTATAATTTGACCATTTTCTAGTTACTGAGGTCTGAAAACATGATATTTTCCATGACCAATTTGACAATAGAAAACTCATCATTTCGATCTGACATGAAATTACTTGCAATTTCATTTGGAAGCTGACTATTTCAATTTGGTGTCAGAAAAGCCCACATTGGCATTTCTGCTGGTTTAGAAGAGAGAAAAGAAACGGTATCTTGAAAATAGTGACCATCTTTAGAGTACTAGTATTTATTTCTTCCAATATTGAAATATGATATGTCCAATTTTTAACAAATATATAAACATATATTAGAGAACAATGGGTAAATGTATGAAGAGATTTAGATGAAAAGTATGTGTGTGGGGTAAAAGGTAAAGTACACTTTTCCAGTATTGTTATTGGCAAAGGCTGTCACGGTGCAATAACCAAGATGTCAGATGCTAATGGTGGTTACAAAGGAGTTTTCTAAAATATTGTACTTGTGATATGCAGCTCTTTATTGATAGCAATAGAATACACATCCTGTATTAATAAAGTTTGAAATAATTATATAATATTGACTGGCCTTGAGGGAGATACCACATATATTGCCCAAACTAGACTCATATTGCCAAAGACGAGGGCAATATGGGTCTTGTGAGGGCAATATATGTGGTATCTTCCGAAAGTTAAGCCAGCCAATATTTTTATTGTTATCCAAATCAGACATCCAGAGCAAATACATAAATCAACCATGACCGTTCTCAAAGAACTGAACAAACTTTGTCAAATCAGCAATGCATATGCATCCAGTGCTTGACAAAATTTTCGATACACTGCAAACAGTGTGCCTTTGGTGTGATTATTACGTCACAATTGAGTGCACGAAAAGTGTGCAGGTTCTCATACGCATAATAGATGCGCAATGAAACTGACAAAATACAGCGCGGTCAATATGAGACTACTGTATATTTACTTTTTTTTAAAGTCCATAGGCTTTTTTGGCATGAGAGGGTAATATGGTCTTATATTTACTGATTAGCTCTTTTAGGATTACAACAAGTGTAATATGATTTTGTAAAACCACTGCTCAGATGTCTGATTTGAAGAGCTAAGAGCAACACACAGATGTCTACAGTGCATATATTCTTTTGCTCCCATTTTTTCTTCCCATTCATCCGTGACTTAGTGTTCCCCCTTTCCTTCTCTTTCATATCTTGTTTTTATTCTTCTTTTTGTCCTTCTCACCCTTCTCCTCCTCCCATCTATTTCTTCATCTTCTTTTTTCTTCTCCATCATTATATTCTTGTTCCATCATGTAAACTGCTCAAATCGGTGACATCAATAATAATGTCATTAAAAAAGAAATGTGTATCCCAAACTTATGCTTTCATTGTACTTGAAGACTAAATGTAAAATATATTTGGGGTTAGATACTAAAATGGCATTTAAGGAGTTATTGATTCTCTGATAGCTTTCACTAATTCATGGTCCAAGCAATGATGATGAGATATGTAAAAACATATTGACTATTAATCAGTGTACATGTAGTTTCTTGTATAAATAATTGTTTTGATTTAATTGTTGTGGTACATGTATGATTGTACCTGTGTGTAGATGTTTGTCTGATTGTATCTAGGTGCCTTTATTGTGTATTACAGGGTTGTATTGTTTAGATTATGTAGTGGTTCTCTTCTATTGTTCCGTTAGCTTTAATGTTCATTGTTGACTTGCATCTCAGGCCTCAGAGCGTTAATGTGGTATCAGTAATGATGGAAGGAATTAATAAAAAGGACAGCGATGGAATTATCTGCATCAGAGTACCGGTATGTTCCATTGTTTAAAATTCACTTGCGTACTTGTATCTCTCAAAGATAGCTGAATTTTAAGACAGATTTTCTTCAGTTAATTCTGCACATTTAATTTACATTACCGTATTCATAATTTAGGATGGTAGTTTGAAATCTAACATTGCTGTTAAAGGTACTATGTCCCATTTGCAGGCCAAAAAATGAAAAGGTTAAATCCCACAAGCATTTGAAAGATAATACTAATTTAGAACTTCCCTCAAAACAAAAGGGCTTGTAAATGTCTTTTTGTGGATAAATAACGACGTTAGTTGTCGAATCAACTTTAGGGATTGCATTCCTTTTGGTAAATAGTCTGATTTTTAGACCCTTGTATCGAATGGTGTACGTTTTGTGCTGCGCAAAGATTCAATCAGGTTAATTTTGGCCATTTACAAGAAGTGGGTTATTGATGTACATAAATGCACATGTACCGGTATCTTTTACAGCTCATTTTATGTATGTTATTACCAAAGCAAAAATGAAGTCAGTAAGTCATTCAATAGTGTATGACAGTGAAGTCTAGACAGTGAACAGGTTTCCTTGCACAATTGAATTCTAGGACACTGCTTACATTTAAATTTCAAAGATAAGACATAAACGCAACATATTCATAATTCCTGCAAAGTTCTACATAATTTGATGTTGGCTGCAAATGGGACATTTAACATTTAAGTACCTGTAACATATAGAACTGACACATTAAATTTCAGTACTAAACATCCCACAAATCATTTTCTATTAATCTCTATTTCAGGTTACTGGATATGCCCATGTTTTGTACATGTAATTATATGTTTGATATTGTGAAAGTAATTGAAAGTGGAACCACCAATTGTCACATATATTGCCATGGTATTAACAGAATTTCATTTCCCCTCTATTGTCCATTATTGTCCGTGATATATAAATATATATATGCTCATTTGTTATGATTGCATGTCGTCAATAGTAATGCTAGCAATCTGGGGACCAAGGACCAAAGGAAAAACAAAAGAAGATAGATGGTGAGTCCAGCCTGAAACCATGATTTTATTAAAAATAAGAATTAAGGAAGCAGAGAAACAGGTCAGAGAATTTTTTGTTTGTAGGATGAAAAGAAGATTTGTAAGGTAATAAACCTTGCATTCTGACAGAGACCATTTTACTTCATGAGGTCACTGAATTACCTAGTCATGAATGCATATGAAGAAAGAAGGAACCCATTTCATATTATAAAAAGTGGAATTATGCTGTTTTTTGTGAGATCAAGCATACATGAGTAGTGAGACTGCCATCACAGTTACGGTAGGCTAAATTTCTTTATCTTAAACACAAATGTCAGGTATGAGCGACCAGTTAAACTTCAAATAAGTAAATATTCCATAAAAAAAATCTTTTTTAAGGCTAGAGCGACACACAAGATTAGCAATGTGACAAGATGTAAGAAACAATGCACTTTACTCTGAGCAATTAATAAATGTATGTACAAAATCCAACTTTATGACATGTATGTATATCAGAGAGATGTAATTCAACTGAAATTATTTTGTAGAATTTTTGCAATAAAAGTATTATGACAAGGAAAATATAACTGCATATACCCTCTTTTTATTTTTTCTTCTTATTTCTATTTTTTCCCCTTTTCTTTCTGTCTCAGCTTTCTTTACCTTAATCCTTTTAAAGATCAACCTTTTTTTTTTATTAGTTTCATAGTGCAACTGGAAGAAGGGAGTAAGCACTATTGCGCTAGCAATTTAAATGCCTGTAACTTAAAATATATGTGCTCACCATTTAAAGAGAAGGTTGAGTTCTGGGAAGAGGTAAAAAATAATTTGTGAGCGTTATCATTGTTATTATGCAAGGGTGGAAGAACATCAGATTAAGCATGTTCCTTGAAATGCACGGTTCTTCAAATGCATTCATATTCTAAATATGACACGAGCATCGTAAAAATCGGGGGGGGGGGGGGGGGGTAGGTTTTTTTTGCCATGTGCTCATGTAGTCCCATATACATCATTCTGTGTACAGTGCTTGTAACTTTGCCAAGATTTGGCCACATTTCTTATCATTTTGATGATTCCAGAACCTTGCAATACACACGAATACTCATATACTAGATGATCAACCTTTTTTAATAGATTCAACACCGTTTCTTTCAAAATGCAATCACATGACCAGAACTCAACTTTATCTTTAATACCATTAATCTACTTTCACTTTATTAGTCGATAAAAAGAAAAATTCCTTTTACGGTTTTAAAATGGTATAACATGAATAAAGCAACCCAAACCATAGATGCGAGTTACAAGAAATTCGCTTCAAGCATATATATATGTGCTTCCGATTACCCTTCTGCCAAACACACAATGATTTATTATGCATCAACACATCAACCTCATCTATTGGTTATCAACATATCAAATGATCTTTATCAAAATGTGCAGCTCGTGCGCTCTCTCTCCATCACTCCCTCCCTCTCTCTCCCTCTCTCTCTCTCTCTCTCTCTCTCCCTCCCTCCCTCCCTCTCTCTCTCCGTCTCTCTCACTCTGTCTCTCTCTCTCCTCTTCTCTTCTTATTATCCTCCTTTCTATTTTGGTTACATTGCACTGTATCCCTCCTTCCATTCCTTCTTGGTTCACCTGTTGCTTTAAATATTGCCACTACCCTTTCTTGAATCTGTAGCACCTCTAGATCTCGATCTGAAAACATAATTTGATTCATAAATCAAAATAAGACTTCCTTTTATATCAATACTTGATCTGTGCTTTATTACAAAATAAAAGAAAGTACAAACTTCAGTGGTAACTCATTACAAATTACAGTATATTGCAGCCAGGCACAATATCATTGCACATTACAGTCACAAAAAGTAGTAAACAAAAAATATATCTTCAGAAAGAATTTAGCTGTAAACCTCTATAGGACCACTGAACATTACTTTGATCACAAATCACACATTATCAGTTCTTATCGGGCTGTGACATGGTACTAAAGATTGTCTTTGATTTTGATACAAGAAATTTGTTCAGTGTATGCTCTTTCAAAGTTGTCATGACATACATTGATGATAAAATTGACAGAATTATTATCAAACAGTAGAATCCAATGTACATGTACATGCAAATAATGTGAGAACTTTAACCAGAAGTGAGAGAGCAAAGTGAGTATGATGGAAAATACAAAAGACAAATGACTGCCATCTTAATGATCGATGAATTGCACTACCTTGTCATACCTTAATACCGTTTTCCCTATCTGATCTGATTTTAAATCTATTTTGGTAAATTTTTGATAAGAATCGTCACTTGTGGATGAAGTTTGCACACTACCATTCACATCAAAGTACTCCGATAATGTTACACAGGAAGGTCATTTGATTTGATCTTCATGATATTCTCTGTATAAAGGCTGCTGCCTTTGGTTACTCTCTCATTCATAAACACTAACACGATGAAAATTTGATTTTCATTCTAATATCCCTACAACTGACATGTACACACAAATTGTGTAAAGGTGCATAGCATTATTCATGAAAAGCTTAGTACAAGAGTCTTCATATGCGTAGTGTGCAGCAAATATTCTACGTAAAAACAAATTAGTCTAAATAACATTGTGACCACACAATATCAAATATGATTTATACATGATATATTTCATACACAGAATGAAAATCAATACATTTGATATATCAATGAAAGACTTGATCAGCAAACTCACTGCATTTCCTACAAATCTAGAATATGACAGAAGCTGATCAACAGCTTGCTATATAATATTTCCCAGGAAAAAAAAGCACAAGTTTACATAAACAATAGTTTGTTTTACTATACAATGGTAACCTCCGTTTTCCTAGCAGTATAATTCCCACTTATAAATACAAATACATGTATGTGTCATAAATTCTGTATGACGACCATGTAGACAGTTCCTTTCACTACCAAAGGAAAAGGGAGTAGTCTTCATAATTCAGACTAATTTAAATTGCTTTCATAGAACAGAAGAAAGAAGTTTATTATTTCTAGAGGCCAGACTTGCAGTTAACTTAAACACTGTACATGTAACACTCAAAGATTGAAGCTTTGATCCAATCTGACACATCCTGATTCTTCTATCCCACCCCACCCCTTTCTCTACTCTAAGTTTCACCCTCTTCTTTTCCCTTCCTAGGATTACCCAGAATGTGCTCTAACTGTTACAAGATACACTGCAGGTCTCTACAAATTTTAACTTCCAGATAATTAATTCTAAACATATGTACTTATTCACAATTATAATTTCAGAACAACTTTAATATTTCCTTTAAACTCTAGCACTGATCTTTCTTTCACTCGTATCAACCCATTGTGCAATCACTTTAACAGATTCAATCGGAACTGTGGCAGAAGTAATCATACAGATATCATAACATGATTCCCACATGATCCTATCGTTATTCTTCAATATCCACTTTGATTGCATATTTAAATAACATAAAAATCACTATTCCCAAGACACCTATTTCAATTTGGAAGCATTTCTTTTGAACTTATACTGTCTTTTAAAGAGAACATTGCTTTGTTTCTGATAGATATTTCAGGAATGTTTATGAAAGTAGGAAGCTTTAAGAAAAAGCTAACGATCGGCTACCTCCTAGCATTTGTAAGGACAGTTGGCATTGGTCCTGGAGATCGTAGCTCTCCATTAGCCTTCATAAAGGCCAGGTTCTCTCTCCTTTGCCTGTTAACATTGGGTCTAGTCCTGCTCTGAGAGAAGCCTAATCTTCCTGGTCGAGCTACACCCGAGAGATCTGCTGAATCATTCAGTGTCACCAACTGCCCAACAGAGTCACTGATATAATTAATTGCCTTGGGTAATGGGTCATTCTGACTAGAAGACAGTTCAAAAACCTTGTCATTAATAAACATTGTAGTTTGCAGCGGGTTGGATGCCACGCCCAAAGCCACGCCTAGATTGGGATGGGAGAGACGACGAGGTGTGATGGACCTCCCTTGAGATGGAGGGCTGGGTGTGGTTACCATGGTGAGCCGCAGTATGGCCGTGGATGGACGAGAGGAAGGACGCGGTTCATCAAGGTGCGCGTCAGGGACCACCAGACTACCCCGCTGGCAGTCGCATACCTGTGATTGGTGGGAGGTGTCAAGAATGTAACCACGCCCGTTACCACATTGAGTGCAAGTATTGCTCCAAACACCATCTATTGAACTTCCTGCAGTGTTTAGTGATGTAGTGAAGTTTGCAGGAACACACAAAAAGGAGAGACGGAGAGATGGAAAGAGAAAAATGAAGACAAATACATGATGGAGTGCATATGAGAGCACAGGGGGCACAATGATAGTTTGAAAATAGTATCAGAGAATAAAGATAAGGTGTATCATCACCATGGTAGAGAAGAAAGACATTTTTTTGACAAAGGTAAACAAACAAAAGGTGAAATGGATGAGAGAAGAGACATTGAGATACATGACAAAACGAATAATTAGTATGGGAAACAAAATAAGAACTACTGGTGAGTTCATGTTCCAAATCAAGGATTCAAAGTAATACGAATTGTCTACAGCCAAACCTGCCTATCTACCCCTTTTATGTCAAGGGCAGCAAATCCTGCCAAGAATTTGAGAGCCGACTTATCTGCTAAATGTTTTGTCTTGAGGTAGAAACAGGTTGGCTCGTTGTAAAGTTTATGCTCATGGGAATATCTTTCAAGTCAAATTTTATCAAAGAAACAAGCATTTTAACTTTATATGAAAATTCAACACCTGACATGCAGTTTAAATGGCATTGTTCAAGGAATCGGTGGTATATATGTACAGTATCCAAACCCTGCTAGGCTCAAATTTGCCTGCGCAAGCAAAGGCCAAGCTTGGATTTTGGTGGGGTATTTTATCACAAGAGCCAGTCATTGAAATTGCTTGGAATCCATGTTATTAACAGCTCTAGTGCGCCTTGGCCCCTTCAAGGAGGTGGACTAGAGAAGTTTAGCTTTTCTTCACATGTTTTGACATACATATTTCCTCTTTAGGAGAAAAACAGATTATCATGTAGCAGGTCAGACTGTATTTTGGTACTTCATTAAGTCTTTGAATTATAGAGTAAGAAGAAGAACCCAACATTCCCAGGAATGAATGAAAATGATAAACCAGTGCAGGGTGAAGGATCTCTCTTTTTTTTGGCCTTGACGTGGGTGATTTCTTTTGTCAATGAAACAGAAAGATCTGTTTGAATCTAATCGATTGAAAAAATAATTGTCAATCTATTGACAGTTAATTGAATACTTGATATATTCAATTAACTGTCAATCTATGTTTCACAAGTAATGGAGCATAAAAATACTACAATGATATTACATATAACTATAATCCAATGAAATGAGCACCAACATTTCCCAATGATAGTGAAAAACATTAAATAACATAAGTAGCACTTTCATGATGCACATTGTACAGGCATTTATGTGTTCAAATAAAGTTTTTTTTTTCTCGCAAACATAGCACCGACATCTAATTATATACTTGCAATGCATCTTGCAATGCATAATTTGTTGCTAGGATAGAATAAACTTGGGAAGTGCGTTTTGTTTTAAAATGTAAATGAAAAAGGAGTATTCCCTGAAATATCTTCATCGGTACATAATAAATCTACATCAATAATCAACTCTTTTCATTCAATGTACGTAGTACATCTGCAGTTTTCTGGTTATTAACATTTCAACAACAACAAAATGGTCAGAGTAATATGGCACCATAAACTTGGTTGATGTTATTAGGTTTTTCATAATCAGGATCACTAGACCTCCATACAGACTTGAAATATCATTCTTTACTATACTTGAGATTGAATTTATGTGCATCTAACATACATGAAATTGAATACTGCGAACGCATACAGTGTGTCAATATGAACCTATGCTCTTTTAAACAGAAAAAGGGTGTTCTTACATGAACAAATTTTCAAATCAATTGTGTTCTTTTTATAATTCACTGTGTTATTGTATACTTTCAATCATCTCACATAGTTCACAAAAATATGATCATATTCATGGCATACACAAGTATATACAAACATGACTCGTATTGTCCCTATATAAACAAATCTCATTAAATGTTGAGATAAATTAACTCAAGACATTTTTGGGCAAGTAATAATAACCTATACAGAATGTTCATTAACATCGATGGAAGATTATTTAAAAATGTAAAGACCAGAGCACAACTTCTCAGAAATTCACAGAAATAATACAGTCAAATATGTATTTTAATGAATTCCCATTGTGACCTGAATTAACATGCCACTTCAAATAATTTCTACAAACAATACATTGAAGTTTGACATCCCTTAAGGGGGTTTCCTTCTAAATAAATGTGACTGTGCTTTCAATAAATCTATAATTTCTTGTCGATTGTCTTTGGCGGGGTCATGAGAAAGAGATTGAACAGTACGTACTACTCTGGCGAGACAAGCAATTTCTTGCTTCATGTTGTCCAGCTGCTGGGAGATCTTGCGGCTTTGAAGGCGATACTGTTACCACGGCAACCATGGAGGATGCAGGGATGGTCCACATCAGATGAGTTTGGTCATCAGCACAGGAGGGATAGGAGCATAGCAACAGGGTCAGGGAGGGGAGCCATAGAATGGAATGATTGAGATGGATGGATGGATAAGGATGAGGAATGGATGTTGAGGGTGAGATGAAAGAAGAAAAGCAGAAGGAGAAAGAGAGCAACAAAAAACACAAGCACAGAGTTAGTAATGGTGGCAAATAAGCACAAATGAAAAACATTTAGGATGGCTTCCTTACCCCAATTATCAATGATAATATATATTGAAAATGTTTAAAAGTGAAAATTAAATTAGCACATTGATACAAGTTTTATTTGTTATTCAAATTGTTTGATTACATAATTTCTTTGTTACAGTCATTTTTCTTTCATTCTTTTTTTCTTGGGGGGGGGGGGGGGTCTCTCTATTTGCTTTTTTTGTGTGTAGCTTTTTCCTTTATAATCCCATTCATATAGTCAATATGGACATATATTGAAAAGCTTTGCCCCCCTCCCCCACTTGTTCAGTCCTCTAGTTCAGTTAAAGGAAAATATTGTGTGATGTTACATGCATATACAGTGCAGGTGCTGGGTTTGCATGGAAGTGTCATGGATGTGGTGCATGCATTTGAGCTCCTTTTAAGACAAAGATATGATATATTACACTGATATACATTTTTGTGCAGCGTTTGACCAACTGGAATACAGGACAAAAAATAGACACTCTCACACTGTGACTTTGGTGAGAGGCCAGTGAGTGTGTCTACTTTATTTCAAGCAATGTGTAATAATTGCATATAATGAGCTTTTTGTGCTTCTTTACACAAGTGTACATAAGAGAAATATATGTTAAGGCTTAGATAATAAACACAGTCAAGACTTTAGTCAAGACTATATCATATTAATTAATTCAAGAAAGAATAATGCAGATTGGGATGCAAGCACAGCATGAACAAAATACCATTTTCACAATATGCTGCAAATTAAAGAGTAAACAAGCAAAATATAAATAAATAATTTTCCCGGAAATCCCAATCACAAATGAACATGCAAGCAACAAAGATGAAAAGTGCATTATAAATACGCAATACAACAAGACATGAAATCACAAGAAATATCATATTGGGTGGGAAGAAAGGGAGGGCTTCATTTGTATTCATGGGCAGACAAAATGAAACCCAAAATGGACTTAATGGAGTTTAAATTTAATAATTAATGTCATATTTCTGTTTCAGAACGATTCTGCTCTGACTCTTCTGAAACGGTCTAAATGTATTATTACCTGGGCCAATTGTTGGAATGTTATAATAATTAGTTACATGTAACAATAGTGATATGGACAAACTGGTCTGATGTTCATGTATTCATCATGAGTAATGGACACAAAATGAATGCTTCTCTGTACAATCAATCACTTTAAAGATATATTTCTTCTTTAATCAAAATTCAGTTGCTGTCTTTGAACATGATAAACAAGATAACATACTGCGTATATAAAATGGAATGTATAACAGGGATTAAATGGTATATATGTTGGGGGTAAGGATGTGAATTATGCATCCAGCATACAATTGGCATACATCTATAAGTATTCATGCTTAGGATTTCTTAAAGTGTTTCATTACACTAATAATGAGGTATCTTCGTTTAAGTTCTCCTACATAGCGAAGAGAACATTCAAAATTTAAAAATATAACCTCAAATAGTTTTTAATGTGTCATGAAAGAGAAACAACATATTTTTCTGCGTTATAAAAACTATTATAAGAAAACAATTACAGTTGTGGCAGTAACAGCTATGATTTATCAAGAATCAGTGAATCATTAAAGATACAATGAATGCTGATATAGGCATGTGGTATGTCAGGTCTAATAATAAACTTCAGATTTCAAATCTATGCTGCCTATAATACCTATACATTCTACATCACTTAAAAGTGTGAATAGAAATCATTCAATTTGCACTCCTTAATAAAGCTTGACACTAAAATTATAATTTTTCAAATACAAATTTGAGGAGTAAACTTCCATCTTTGGGGTACGATTAGAGAGAAATATAATCTTATCGATTATTGATTATTGATTGGTATATGTACCTCAGCAGAAATGCAAAAAGTGGAATAAACTGAATTCTGAATAAAGTTTAATGGAAAAGAATAGTGGGTCTAAGAAAAGTAAAAAGACCTTCCACATTTTCACAACCAATAGTGCACAGACCCAGTGCAGTTCACAATACTAAAATATAAATTGTGCATGCCTTCACTCCACTGATATACCAACAAATGCATTGTGTATAAATGTGTACATGATATATACATCATACACTCTTACATTTAAATGTACATATACATATAATATTTAAAAAACAGAGACACTGTAATATGGAATTACCATCAACATTCAATATGCATATACATGAAGGACTGTTATGATTAGCGCCAAATAACGACTTGGATGTTCATTGATGCAGTCTTACATTCAGTATGATTTGCAGGACTGGACAGGTGTGACATTGTGCAGGTAACCAGTGGGTGCAGGTGGATATATGGGCAATGATAATTAACAATGCAATTTGAAAAGAGCCTGATACTTTAATATCCCACTCTCCCGTGTGTGTGCTAAGAATGATTGGAGAGTATACTAGTGATATTCAAACGTGTGATTGTGAAGGTGCACATGATCCTGTTACCAAAGACACAGACAATGTGAACGGCATGGCAGACATGAAAAGATCTCGCCCCAAAACTGAACTCTTTGTATTGTCATTTATTGATTTTTTTTTTGTTCTCTTTTTAAAGCATATATCAGCTATAGCGTAATTTGGTCAAGTGATATTTTGTTCAATAGTTGTTTTTAAATCTCAGAGCCCACTAACAGCATTAAATCAATTTGGTATGTAAGAATATCGCTTTTAATTATTCCCTTGTCTTTAAATTTCATAAATTATGATGGAACCTCTTTTTCAACGGGTTGGTTAATTCATCTATTTCACAACTTTACTTATAAAACCTGATAAATACCTTATATCTTGATTTCAAACTTTTTGGATTGCCATAACAAAATTATCAGTTACTGCCTTTTATTATCTTGTCTATGGGGAAAACATTTAATTCCATCCTCCAGGAATCTTCTTTATTTTTCAACCTTTACAATCTTTTCTCTTGTTACACTTTAAATTCTTAAACTCCAATCGTTAGATTGAAATGCCAGGAAAAGAGCTTTAGGATTATGTGGGGTCCACTGTACCATCGTTATCTTGTAGCCCTGTGGTTGATGAAATATTCGTCTGGAGCCAGACAAAGTTAATGCCCTTCCGCCTCTAAACAGATGTGATAATGTTTATGTAATACATGTATGTGCAGAAACCTTGAAGAGCCCCTGAATAGTATGAAACCAAACTGCACACAAACCAATCCAAAAAACCAAATCAATGGTTACCTGTACAGTACTCATAGATCCTACGTTAGTCATGTGATCATATGTAATCACCCAGCCAAACAATGGCAAAAGCAAGTGAAAAAATAAGGAAGGAAAAATGATTAGTTTGTTGTGGAAGAAACAAACCTTGGATTTTTACATGGATACGAGTCATTCATAAATGATTTAAACAAAAACATGTATAAGGAGGTAAATTTGTCTGTGGAAAAATTAAACTTTATCAAAAAATGGGGGGAGGGGGTGATTTTGTACTGCAACTTTTCAGTTCAAAGTCATTTAAACAGATGCTGTATTTTCAAACAAGTACCAACTTTATGATTTCTCTATGTTCAAGCACTGCTTAGGTGAAATCAGTGCATTGTGTGTGTAAATCACCATACTTACATAACATCTTTCTGTATCTTCAACCAAAAAGAGGCTTAGAAAGATGTGTACTTGTTTATACTTTAATACATTGTTATTTATACCTGAATAAACAAAAATTGATACCATCGATTTCTACAAATATCAAGTATAATAATGGTATGGCAATGATACAGGGTTCAACACATACAATACAAACATATATGAATTCAGAAACATCCCAACCATTTGGTGAATGCTGGGATTTTCCATATATATATATATACATGATATTACATTTTACAAAATAGTTCTTACGAAAATAGACCATACAAAATATTGCACTTCAAAACATTTCCTTGATATATAATAATATTGCTTTCTTAGATGTCTTGCGCAGATTTTATCTGAAGTTTTGCAATTATACTTCAAAAGTGAATTAATATGGAAATGGACAAGTTCAAATTTCTATTGTCATTATAAAAAAAAAATCAATATTATTCAATCCACACACAATGTCATCTTCACACACTTTATGACTTTCTATGGACATGTTATTTTCTTTATCTCCCAACTGGTTATGTTAGATTTGTCCAACCTAGCTATTGTTCCTATAAAAATATACTTTGTTCTGACGCACTCACTTTGAGGGCTACAGAGCTTTGATCTTTCCATGAAAATGATTGTCTTATTTCTCTTCAGGCTAAACTGGAATCAATCACTTTTTATATACAATTTGAATTGTCTATCTTTGTTCAGTATTTCTAGATTTCTATTTTTCTTTCTTTATTCAATTATTTGTATCTTCATTTATTTATTCATGCATTTATCTTGTTCATTCTCTATACATTTGTTTATTCCTAACTAGGATGGCCCATTTCATGTTTAAAAGTGGTCTTCCATAAGGCCCGTTTTACAACATACAAGTATATACACATCTTAACATACAAAAACAAGGATGACAAAAAAAATTGTCACATGGTGAGACTTTCAATAAAAGTAGTACAACACATCAAAAAAAATATTTAAAAAATGCAGCATCAATTTTATCAGTACTTAGTACTGCTTCCAATATGATGTGAATTGATCAGTTACGATGTTCTATATGGAAGAAATCCTGTCAAACATTTAATTATTGTTTAAATTGACTAGATTTTTCAAAGTATTTACAAAAAATTCCAATTTCTTACAACTAATACGTATCTAAATGTGTGTTTTGTATGATTTGCTGTAAAGCTGTGCAACATATAAACACAGAACATGGCTGTCTGGCAAGGATCAAAGGTTGAGTGTCAAAGTTCAAATAGTTGTGCTACACCAGGAGTCCATTGATTCTGTCAAGGCACCTCCTAAGCTCGGTGAAAGCTCAGAGCTTTGCCAGTATGCTGCAGCTTCAGTTTGACTTTCAGAACTCCTGATCTGACCTGCTTGACAAGGGCGCCCTCATTGTCTGAAAACTTTGGTTTTTGGAGATTGATCTCGTAGTCTCCTACCGTGGGAGCTCGCACGCGTGATGATGGTAGCTCCCTCTTTGGGAAGCTTCCTTGCAGCTGGGCTGTACTCTTCACTGTATAATGTCTGAATGTATCACAGTTATTCTCACAGCCGTCAGACACCTCAGATGTAACATTCGCTTTACTGTCCCCTCCCGCACCTGCAGATCTGACCATCACTTGTGTTGGTTTCAACTCTTCCCTCCCGTCACCCGATGGCTTGTACTGCAGGCTTGGTAAATGGATAGTCTTGGTGGCCGTACTGTCGTTCTTGGTCATCGTGTCATCAGTCTTGGGTTTCATCTTCCTGCCTCTCAGTCGCTTTGTCTTCTTCCCATGAAAACTGTTAGTGCTACTACTAACACAACCGTTAATACTACTACATGTACTATCAAACACATGCACTTTGTCAATACCTGCTAGTTTCTTCTTCATGTCCTCCATAGTAGTAGCCTTTGGTGTTGCACCTGTCTTCAGTCCCAGCTTCTGGAACGCACTCGTCTTATCCATCTTTCCTCCTGGTGTCTTGCTGCGCTGGGGATCAGACTTTCTCTCAGCCTCAGGACGAGGACTGATTATGTTGTTGATGCTCTTCTGCCGATTCATTGTGACTGGTCGTCGCACGCCTACGCCATCCACGCTGACGGACGACCCAATGTAGGGTGGAACACTAACACTCGGCTGTAGAAAGAATGAAAGTATGACATCATTAGAGCACAGCTGTAACTACGAGGACTGCTGGGTGGTATCCAGTAATTCAGTACAAGTGTCTAATTTTTCATAAAATGTTCTATGAGGCATTACATCATACCAAGAATATCTTCATTTAAATATTTCTTGTAGACTTTTGTAAGGAATATTGTACATCAATCAGCAGGAATAATTCATATCTGTCAGCATACATACACTTTTTCTTTGGGGTGAGGTTTCCATCAACCTCTAAGGTTGGAATGGTGGCGAATCCTGTCCAAGAAATGAAGTGTTCAACAATTTATTTGAATGTATAATGATACACTTTCCTTCCTGAAACAGTACAATCACTTTGACGTAAGATGTAAGATATTGTTATGCCTTACTTGAATATGAAGCAAAACACTGAAAGTCAAAAATCAACTGTTGAGAGATTATTCATGACAGATCTTCAATAATTTGGTGGCATGCACAGAAGAATTTAAGGCTATTCATTAGACACTTACCCCTTTGAAAAGGACCTGGAATTTACCAGTATCGCAGTTCTTATCATGCCTGCGATCCAGAACAACCTTCATTGTGTCCTCTATCACAGAAGCACACATCTCCTCTGTGACTGGAGTGGAGGCGCCCATGGCAGGACTAGCGTTGATCTCTAACATCCATGGCAGAAAATCGTCTGTCAACATGAAGTCAGCCCCATACAGCTCAAAGGAATTCTGAGAAGAATTTTGAAATAATATATAAAAATGAAAATTATGACAAATGCAAAATCCACATAAAAGTATAACAAAGTGACTTCGTACCAAATATATCAATCTATACTGCAGCAGTGTAGAATAAATTGAACTATGTTAAAACCATAGATACTATTTTGAACACACATCTCTCTTTATGCTCCTAATTCTAATAATAGAAAATCGAAGGGCTCTTCACATTAATTTCTAAATATCATGCTCAATAAATGACTCTAATCACATCCAAGAAAAGGCGATGTTAGAACAGTCACACAACTCTTCCTGATTCTTAGTAATTTTGGTCTCTTGTATATCAAGATTATATATATAGATATATAATATAACCACATAATTTTAACAGAACTATTCATTTGAGTATTTCCTTTCCTATCTAACCCTTCACATATGTTTGGTTTAATATATAACATGTAGTGGCCTTATCAAGAAATTGATTTTCTATTCATAGTTAGGAATACTGAGCTTTTTCTAACTCACCTTCCTAGCCTCCATGGCATCCTGTGCACAGAGCATACTATCAACAATAGCCTTCTTCATGCCTGGTACAATCACACTCTCCCACAGACCCTCAAACCCACGATCATCCAGGTACTTGCGGAAGGTGTCACTGTCCCACATATTATCATATGGCAGGTTCTCATCACGCTCTACGGCATTGTCGTAGTTCTTCTGAATAGACTGGTTGGATAGATGGATAGATCTGCAAAGAAACGAGAGAGAGATAGAGTTACTTGCTATGTATATGTATGAAATCAGACTACAGAACGTTATGAACATAACATTTATATGGTTTAACCAAGAAAATAAACCATATGTCTACACAATCATTAGATGAAGGAAAAGAAATTTCCTATTTGTCAATCAAAGCAGCTTACCGTAGCTAGCCCTTAGGATAAGAAATTTAAAATGAATCAGTGCGCTTTAACAAAAATCCTCATATGTAGTATCTTGCTAGGGATTGCAAGATGTAGATTACCGTTTAGTATATGCACATACTTTAGCATCTCAAGTTAAAGACACCATTTTCAAAATGTATTCAAATTCTTACACATTTGCCTAGCAACAAGCTTATTACATTGACCTGTTATATATTATTAAATAGGAATAGTACAAAATGCAAATTGCATTCATTAATTGTTGCTAGGTAGGGAAAACATTATGGCTTTCCCTACTTAACAACACATAAATGCAATTTGCATTCTGGCTATTGAAATACAATTATTTGTTCAACAGGTGAAAGATGTATGCATTAGATTTGGTTCAGTACATTGTGAACATTGCCTTTTGAATTGACATACAAACAATAAATCAAACCTGCATTTAATGGTAAGAGTACAATGAACAAATATATTTAATTTCCAAACATGTGAATCTAATAGTTTAAAGGCACTTGGAGGAAACTCTCCACCAACTTAAAAACACTTGTTAATTAAGTGGTATATAGAGAGATTCTGCTCAAGACTTACTGGGCCAAGTCATCAAGGGAGAAAGGCTGGGTGCAGAATCTGAGGTAGCAAGCATCATACCACCAGATAGTCAGAGGGTTCCAGTCGGTGACCAGGAACCACTGACGGATGTCAAACTTTGTCTGGTAGATCAACAGAGGGCGCTCTATATACTTTTGGACGATCCATTTCCCTTCTTTCTTGACCATCGGGTTACCAACCAGCTTCAGGATCTCATCAAGTTTGTTCATGCACATGATACCTGGTGAGATTGAAAGGTTTGTTAGTCCTTGCTGTCAAAGTTGATTTCAATTGGGTTATTCTGAATTGTAAATTATGAAGTGCATGTAAATCCTCATGGAAATGAAATTTGGGACTGTTTTACATGAACAAATATAAGAACTATGAATACACATAGTTTCGGTGAAAATCACTAACAGTGAAATGTACAACCACATATATGACAATTTATATAATCAACAACTTTGTCTCTTAAAGATACTATGTCCCTTTGCAGCCAACATCAAATTCTGTAGAACTTTGCAGGACTTATGAATATGTCATGTATGTCCAATCTGTGAAATTTAAACGTTAGCAGTGTCCTAATATTCAAATTATGCAAGGAAACCCGTTTACTTGCTAGACTTCACTGTCAGACACTATTGAGTGACTGACTGGCTTTTTTTCTTCAATAACCCACTTCTTGTAATGTCCAAATTTAAACTGATTGAATCTTTGCGCAGCATAAAAGGTACAACCATTCGGTACAATGGTCTGAAAATCAGACTATTACTTACGGGCTCTATAGCTCTTAAGTCGATTCGACAACTAATAGTCATTATTTTCCCACTTAAAGACATTTTCACGCCCCCTTTTTTTTAGGGAAGTTCTAAATTAGTATTATCTTTCAAATGCCGTTGGAATTTAACCTTTTCATTTTTTGGGCCTGCAAATGGGACATAGTACCTTTAAAGCTTTCCTTGATTTTGTGTTATTTGTGTTTTTTGTTTGTTCTTGCATTGTTTTTTTCTTCTAAAATATTTGAAATAATTAACCAACATAAGAGGGGAATTCAATTGTTGAAAGGCTCACCTCTGCCTCTCGACTTAGCACCAGGTTTTACAATCCAGATGTTTCTAAGGCCTTGCATGTCAAGCTGAGGTAGTATTGATCGTAGTCTGTTCAGCAGGCTCTCACAGTATACATAGTGCATGGTGACATCATCAATGCTCCCTCGTTCACTGTGGATGGGAGATAAAAGAAGGCAAATATACTTGAAACTCGACTTATGTCTTGATGAAACAATAATATTATCCAACATGCCAAGAGAGAAATGATATACTATGAGCTAACAAGCAGGAAATAGCTTCTTCATGTAAAAAGAAAGTGATTGATGTTGTGAAAGGGCCTGATTAACTCTTGGGCTCTTGCCAATAGATATTCAGTAGATCATTTCTTTCACAATATGATTTGCAGACGGTGGTAAAGGGTCTTAATCATCTTATTTGCAAGCTACTTTCCCTTAATCCCTTCCAATCTCTCTCCCTCATATCTCTGTCTCTCTGTCTCTATCTCTCTCTCTCTCTTCCTTTCTCTCTCCCTTTCCTTCTCGTTCTCCTTTCTTTCTTTCGCCATTCAAAGGGAGTGGTCATTTGTCCTCTTGTGACCCCCATAGCTTTACCACTGCCTATCATTATCTTTCTTGAGCGAAAATTACTGCCTTTGGAACTAACGCTAACTTGAATCTAAGCCAATAAATTAACATCAATCTACCTTGTCAGCTGATAGTACTCTGTAATGAATTTGTCCCACTGCTCATCAGTTAATAAAGGTGAGAGATCCTCATCTATATCATCATGTTCATGAGATGCGAGGAAGTCTTCAACAATCTTGATGGCTATGTTTACAAATGGTGTTCCTAATACCACTGGTATCTTTCTGGCTTTCAAAGCTTTGCCTGCAAAACAGAAAAATTAGCAATTACATGTAGAATGAAAATATTCATGGATTCTAAGATATTTTCTGAGTGAAAGCTTTTTTAAACATTTGCAATGAAAAATGCTAAGATATTTTTACAAATTTGAAGCGGAAAGAAATTTATTTTAAACATAAGGACATAAGGACATGAATGAATGTGATTGATGTAAAAAGTTTATAACAGGAAAATATAATCATGCTTTGAATTATCCCAATTAATATCAAGAAATAAATAAGAGACATGCACTCAAGTATAAGAGGCATTCATGCATTGCGCTGCATTGATATACAATCAAATAAAATATAAGCTTTTTGATCAGACAGACTTATTTCTTACCATTTCTCGGACTTGTAATATTTTTGTTCTCTTCTGTTTTGTCACTTTCTTTGTTCTCTTCTTCTTCTGTCAGGTCAATGTCTAGGTCTCCATCTTGTTTCATGACAATCCATTTCAACACACCGATAGCAGCTGATACCCTGTAGTCATCTGCCAAATAATACAAAATGAAGGTTTCCCATTACACCATATGTAATTTTTTTAAGAAATCATTTAAAAAAAAATTAAAGACTTTGTTCACAAAGCTATTTATTCACAGACAAATGATAATGATAATGATAGTGGGTTCTTGTAAAGTGCTCTTGTCTGTCAGACTTGACACTCCTGGCGCTCCACAATTATGACCCTAGCTTCAGTATGGCTGCCATTATGGCAATCAGGAATTTCAAGGAATTAATTCCTGCCAGGTACCCATTTACCTCACGTGTGTCGAGTGTGGAAAATGCAGATTAATGTCTCGCCACAGGACATAAGTGCCTCATTGGGATTTGAACCATGGACCATGTGATCCCCAGTCAGTGACAGTATCTACATGTACTACACCACAACACCTCTAGCATAAAATGCTGTGATTTAACTCAGAAGAAAAAATAACATCCAAATAGAATCCATTGAACAGCTTCCCAAATAGTTTTTAGAAAAAATTGATACACACTATATATGGTATATATAAACTTCATGTATGCTCAGTGTGTCCTAAAGTCCAATTTAGCACAGTGCATGTCATTTTTTGTTCCTTTCTGAGGTTCTTTGTAGTCAACGAAGAGCTCTTTTCCAAACCAATTCTTACCTACGAATGCCTCCTTTTCTTCATCTGCACATATCCTATAGCATCGAGGTAAGAATGTTTCTGCCTCTCTCTCCTCAAACCAAGGAAGATTCTTCAGACTAAGGCAGAGACCAACCTGCAATGGTGAAGGCATATCAACAATTAACAACACTCATTTTGTTTTCCTTCATATTTTGTTGATATGTTACATTAAAAGGTAGAAAATATGAGAAAATTGAGGCCAAAATATGCATGTGCAAGAAAAAAAGTAACTAGAGTACCTTTACAACTGCACAAGACATATATTTTGTAACTTGTTTTTGTTCCAAAAGTTTAAAGAGTTGGAGGACTGTCAATAGCAGCTCTGGTAGCATAACGGAGAGGTATGCATTATGGTTTACCATGGTCAGTTACCTATTAATTCAATCACTGACCAACTGTTGATAAGCTTCTTATTTGACATCAGTATCATTATCATCATCAAGAACAAATTGTCAAATATCAAAATGAACTTACATCATACTGATATTATAAAAGCTGATTATATTTTCAATTGTATAATGACCTGCAACTCATTTAACTGAGTTCAGGTGTTACATTTCTTATTAAAAAAGACATCATTTTAAAACAGATTTTTACTGTTCATTGCTTACCTTTGTTGTGAAAGTTCCATTCTTGCAGAAATGGTTGACAATTGTGTCCTTTCTCAATAGTTTGTAATCTACAGCTCCCTTACGCACTGTCCACAGAAATGATGGGGTGGCATTCCGAACAATTCTTGACTGTAGAAATGACAAGTAATTCAACAAATGATAAGATGGTAAGCAAGTGCAGTACGTGTAGCTCAGTGAGAGGGTTTTCTTTCTATACCACATTACTCTTGATCATTGTACAGTTATTGTGTGGCCGAGAAATTGTTCATTTTTAATTGACACTACAGTTTCAGAATACATGCAGATCCCATGGACAAGTTCACTATTTTATGCCATGTCAGCCATTTTACACATTGCAACGTTGCAGAAGCTTTCCTTACAAAACATCTGCTGAGCACCCTGTTCATAAAGAGCATGGACAAAACTATATTCAAAGGAAATTTGGGTTGTTTTTTTTCTTCTTACTACAGTCAACCCTGTCTATAGCGACCGCCCAAGGGAAATGCAAAAAAAGTGGTCTTTGTAGACAGGTTCCTTTAGTAGGCCTACATGTTTCAATGAGAAACTATTTTCAAGGGAACAGAAAATGAGGTCTTTGTTGACAGGTGGTCACTAAAACAGGTTTGACTGTATCAGTACTTGTTTATTTGACTTCCATTCCAACAAGAGTCTGGAGATGTCAAATAGGGATCTTGAGTGGTATTAGCCATCAAATTAAACTGTAATGAATGCTTTATATTTCTACTATAGATAGAAATTATATGTTTTAAATAAAGATTGTTATTAGTACTTACCATGATACCGCAAGCACCATTAGGATCAGTGAATAAATCATCATTGCCATCATCACAAGCATTGTCATCTGAAGGAATAAAGCATAATGTATTTGGGAATGCATAAAATGTAATGGTCTACGGTGAGATATTACATGATGTCTGCAAATACTAAGAAGAGCAATCAATTCAGTGTACAAAGTGACATGAGATAACAGCTTCCTGTTCACAACACACAATGCACAGTCTATGAACAGTGAAAGTTATAAGGGGTTATGACCTTCTATAAATGTCAAGGGGCGGGACTTTTGAAATTCATTTTATCTCAGTGAGACAAAATACCTTTAAAATCTTATTAAACAGGTGTTCTGATAATCATTTGATCTCGCTAAGACACAACCATTTGTGATGCAAAGTTGTTAAATTTCACTCTCTTCATGTTCAGCCAATGTCCCTCTAGGGCAAGAGAGCGTGAATACGTAATTTTTACAAATTTTACTAAGGGTGTCTCAAAGTGCAAACACGCTTTTGCTAGGATTTCCTTTAAAAAATGATGTTACATTACATTGTATCTATTAAGTGAATCTCTTCTATATCATCTAAATTAGAGCTGAATAAGGAGAATCAACCAATGCTAAACTTCCATTCAGTGAAGAGCTCACAAAAATGATGATGTTCTACAAAATTATAGGAGTTGCTTACCATCCATATCATCATCATCGTCAGATTCTGAATCGTCAGCCTCGCCTCCATTCTTCTTCTTATACTTGTGTGGGTTCATGAGTCGATATTCTTTTTCCACCCATGATCTGCGCATCAGACTGGCCCTGACCACTGGGTAAGGACCTTGGATGGTGAAGATCTTTTTCATCTATGATTAGCAGAAATAAACAGGAAAAAAACATAAATGAAGATATACAACATGATCCTATTCATTCATCTGCAAACAAACATTCCATATTGTGACTTAAAAATAAGGGCACCGTCTTACAGAGAGTTGATATCAATCGCAACTATGTACTTAAGAGATGGGCAATTGCAAACTTGCGATTGATTGGAGGACTTGTGATTGATTTGGATCAATCGTAATCAAGACATTAAAAAAAAAAAAAAAAAAAAACATCTGATCATATGATTGAAAGCCATAATTTAGTTGAGAAAGAAAAAATACAAACCCAACTTATCCAAGAATCTGCAAAATAATTTATAAGGTACCAAACAGTACATCTACTGAACATTTTAAGTACAGATGGATACCAAAATAATGCTTGCCTAGCTATTCAATCTGCATTTACCTTCATTGCTTTCTCTGCCATGATCTTAGCATTTCTTAGCCGGTCGGTGTTGGGAGCTTTTGATATTGAGTACCTAGCCTTGCTCCTAGGGGAGAGTTCTGGAGAGGCATTGGTCTTACTACGAGTGTGATTACATGGGAAAAGGGGACTTGTTTGTTCGCTATCTTCTTCCAGCTGGCTTGAGTGACCTGTAAAGAAGAAAAAAATATGGCAATATTAATCTTTTCCTCCCTTTTATAATTTCTCTAACACATACATGTAAATCTCTCTTTCATAAACATATTATCTTTCTAATTCCCATTCGGTAAACCAGCTAGTTTTTAACCCCTTTAATCCCATTTTTAGGTGATTGCACTTTATATTCTCTATCCTACACAGTACATTGTATCCCAAGCAAAATCACTACAATCATACATATCAACTAAATACATTTATGCATTATTTTAAAGTAAATGTCAAAGTGCATATCAACCAAGCTCTATACATGTTCATACAACAAACATGTTCATAGTAAGCTTAATCTGTGACGTTTTAGTACCTTCCGAAGGGTAGGTTGTTCCACGTTTGTGATTGAGATGTTTAGGTTTGGTGTTTCCTTTCAGCCTCTTCAGGGACATACTTGTATTTGGACCATATGCACCTGGGAAAAAAGAAAAAGGAGATTCTGTTTGAAGAAGACAAATACCAACTCTTGAGGTAGAAGCAGCTTTGATAAAGAACTACCTCTACTTCACATAATATGGTAACAACGGTTTTAAATTCATTCCATCATATTGTTTGTAATATGATTTGAAATACATGTATGGTATTCTTACATTATACATGACTATGGTACTTAAATACATGTACATACAGAAGTACTATTGCAGTATTTGTATGAAAGCAACATCCAAGCAACACAAAAACATCTACTGACATTACAGAATAATTGGAAATTCCTGTATCAATATCTTTTCCTATATTCCATAACAGAAAATACAGTTTTTTCCTGTAGCAGTTCAACCAAGTATCAGAAGAACAGAATTATAATAAAAATGTAAGACTCACTGTCTTGCAGCTTGTTGAAACTGACAGATGTCTGCATTAATGTTCCGCCCCGCCCTGGCTTGACCGGAGCTAGAAGAGATGGAGTAGAGCCCCCTGTCGGTCTCTTAGATGCAGTCTCTCCAGGTGAACTCTCTTTAGCGTCAATCAGGTTGGGAGTTGAGCTAGGTGTCCTCCATGCTACCTGCGACGCTTCTTCATTCTTTGTTGGAAAAAGAGACAGGGGGTTAGCAATAACTATACAGTGAAACCTGTCTGTAAAGACCACCCAAGGGAGACAAGAAAAGTGGTCTTTATAGGTACATGTAGGTGGTGTTTATGTACAGTTTTCTTTGGTACATGTTTCAAGGAGAAACCATTTTCAAGGGAAACAAAAAATGTGGCCTTTATAGGCAGGTGCTCTTTGTAGACAGGTGGTCACTAAAGCAGGTTTGACTGTACAGATCTCTCTTTAATACATGCCCCCCATTCTTAGCAGGAATTAAACCCAGATATATTTCTACTTTGAACCTTGAAATATTTCTACTCTATTTATATGTTTAAACTATAAGTGTTTACAAACTAATTCTGCTAGTAGTAAACTAAATTTGTAAACCTCAGATCATTAGGTTACTTTAGGGTGGACTTATTTTGCCCCTGTAAACACACATTTATCAAGCTTCTTGGTCATTATGTGACTTGTACCATAAATGTGAAACATTATGAAATAATAATAACTGATAATAAAAAATACTTACATGATCTTCTTTTTCTTTAAGGCTTAATCTTCTTGTTTTGGCGATATTTGGTACAGGAGAGAGGCGTCCTCGTAATGGCAATTTCGTGCTTTGTTCCAGCTAGAATAGAAGAAAAGGAAAAATATTAATATGAAAGGAAGGAAATTAAAATTGATCATCAGAGATCTAATATTCCTCAAGAATGTGCTTTTTTTCTCCTACATTCCACTAATGTATGAAGGGGTGACCAAAGTTCGTGGACATTTTAGAACATATTACAAAATGTGATATTCGATCTATGATTTCTCATATTCTACACAACTTTATTTATTTCAATTATTACCAAATGGACGGCAAAGTTTTTTACTACAGATTGGTTCAACTAGAAAAATTTACCGTCGAAGGATTTCAGAGATATCGCGATCTAAAAATTTGATGTCCGATCGTGCGCGCGCGCTGCATCTAAAAAAGTCATAAAAACAATGAGACTTAACTTCACGCACGGTGGTTTACAGTTGATTTATCAAAAAATGTGATCCATCAAAAATAAGGTAATATCATAATTTGCAAGGCAAGATATCGTACAATCAGTTCGTACCACTCTTTACTTACAATTTTCAGGATTTCTGATCTCAAAATGAAGATTTCCAGACCCTTATCGGTAAGTTGATAATTTTTCGGAACGGACACAAATAACTGCAAAATTTGCCGATCTTTTGTCAATATTTTCACAATTTCGCAACCAATTCTAAAGAAAATTTCGTTTCTGGGTAATTTTAAGACCCTCTTTCCATTGGTGATATCAGATTTTCGAAATCTTACCGATTTTTTGAGAAAGCGAACTTTGGTCACGCGCGAACTTTGGTCACACCGCCATACATAGAGTCTAAATTCAATTAAATTAAAATAAGGTTTTATTCAAACATGTTTCGCAGCCAGTGGCTGAATTGCACAGTACCTAAAATGTATACATATATGGTGTTAAATTTAACCAAATGGGTCTACACGTATCGTATGAAATAAACCATAATTTACACTTTAGCATGAAACAGCTTAAAATTGAATAGTCTAGGCCTAGATCTACATTGAATCAAACACTAAAAATAACAAGGAACATACATGTAGACCTATAACATATCATTAAAATTGTCACAAGAATCCAACTTGATTGCCTCAATGATTGACAGCATCCCAAACTTTAAAAACCGTAAATCCCATTTTTTTTGTAAATTTAGATAGTCTAATCTAGATCTAGATCTACTAGAGTCTAGACCCTTACGTTATTAAAAAATTGCATTTTGTGACTTTAACATAAGTATAAAAAACAATATAGATAAAAAAAAAGGGAAAGTTAACTATTGCACAGGCAAGATCATGGCCCGCAATTGATGATAAAATATGCCTGACATAACTTGACCCGGCCCGATCATTAATGACAATTTCAATTAAAAGAAAGAATAGAGAAGCGATTCTCATTATGTGTACAATACTACAATTACAATATGATCTTACTTTTTGACGTTGTTTTTGCAAGTGTAACTCTTGACGTGCCATAAATGTTGTTCCAAGTCCCTCAGCTATCTTGGCACTGGCAGTGCTCATCTGAGGTTTGAAAGTAAATTCTGATCCAGGAAGTTTGGGAATTGGAGACATGCTGCTGGCATGGTGAAGGTTACTGTCGGGAAGCCTCGTCACCCGTGTTGGCGCCGGAGCCCTTTGTACCATCCCACTTTTGACTTGTGTCCGTCGCTCATGAGCCAGCTTTAAGCTGGTTGCATTAAGCTTTGGTGTAAAAGTTAGTTCTTGTTCATATCTGTCAAAGCTAAATCGCTGGTGTGGAATCCGAGTGCATTCAACGACAACGCTGCTACCGCTACCAACACCACCATCAACGCCAGAGCTCGAGGTGGAGCTGGGATCATGACTCGAACTCGAAGATTGCGAGTGATCAATGCCGATTCTCGAACTCACCGATTCAATTTGTAACATTATATTCCATTTCCAGGCTACACATAATGCTATTTTAGTGGTTGAGTTCTTTGTGATGTTGGTTTGTTTCCGGTTCTTGATCCTACATGATCATTTTAATTCAATAACATCAACATCGTAAAGTAAAAGTACACCTGTTTATTCGCTATGGCTCACTGCACTGTACATATCGCTAAGCGACGCCAGACTTATTTACGTTTCAATACATGCTGTAGGCCTAGCCTACATACGTAGCAGCAGCGCGCAGCACCGACGGACGTGCCTTATTTGGTCACCATGGACGCCTAGCTGGGTGTATCGATTGTCGATACGAATGAATGCTAAGTACGCGATGCTGATTGGTCAAACTTATGTTACAGCGATATTCTAAGCTAATCATGTATGCTGTATCATAAAAGTAAGTATTGTGCCAAAAATAAAGAGCGTTTCTCTTCCTATGGGTGCATGCGATTGAGAACAAGTGCTTTATCGATCTGCCTTTATCCCAGTCCCAGACTTTTTGTTTCAATTGTCCTTCACTTTTGAGGCTTAATTCTAATGAAAAGCAAGATATTAGCTAATATAGCTAGAACGAGAGTAGCAGAGAATGATTTGATTAAATGGGTATACAGGACCCGCTGCGTTGAGCACTCCAATTACTTTAGTAGATATGGAGTAGATACCACGGCATCCAGATATAGTTATAAAATGGGAAGTGAGAAACTGACCCCGAAATAAAACAAATAAGTAATAAAAGAGAAGTTAAACCGTTGTACTAGTACTTTTGGTATTTGCCAAATTTCAGGATCATGATTGGAAAATTTCTTGATATTATCATAGGCACAAGGTAATGGATTATAATTTGCAGTTATTATATAGCACGAGTATTATTCTTCTTCTTCCGTTTATCTGATCTTTAAAATACATGCAGCATTGCAGCCTATACACGAGGAAAAAGCCTTGTGTGAAGAAGCTAAATCAGATGTAATGATAATAAACCCGGTAATAAACCGGGCATAAGTTCATATGCAAAGCAGAAAAATAAGAGAAACAGGATGGCGAAAGTTTGAAAACTCATAAATAAGATAAATAATAGGAGAACTGTGAATGTTTGAAATATGAGATCTTTTTATTCTTCTTAATTGATCCCTCCACTATTTTGGAGATCACTAGAGCTTTGCCAATCTCAAATTTACAATTCTGTCAGTGGATCATGACGCAAAATTAGTCACGGACACTGACTCTCGCGTTTGTCGTAAAAGGCGTAGCCGGGAATCGAACCGAGTATACATGTGCATTGTGAAGCGATGTCTTATCCACATGACCACTTTGCCTCAGCCCTACTAGCTGGGTCGCTTAAATTTATTAACACTATACGGGAAAGAAAAATTAATAAAAACAAGACGGGAAGGCGTAGGCGGGATCGAACCGAGTAAATTTGCATTTTGAAGCGATGTCTTATCCACAAGACCACTTTGCTTCACGTACTGCCATTAACAGGTTCGCTTCGAGTTGTTGACACTTTCTGATGTTAATGGCTTTACAAAATATGATGATTAAGTGCTTTTAATCCTTATTTGAGGAGGAGGGGGTGTCCCCTTCAAAAAAGAGATGGACAAGTCAATATGAAGAAAAAAATGATTAAAAAAAGGCGAGGTATAAAAGCGTAGCCGGGAATCGAACCGAGTACATTTGCATTGTGAAACGATGTCTTATCTACAAGACCACTTTGCTTCACTGCTATTAACAGGTTCGCTTTGAGTTGTTAACACTTTCTGATGATAATGGCTTTACAAAATATGATGATTAACTGCTTTTAATCCTTTTTTTTTTGAGGAGGAGGGGGTGTCCCCTTAAAAAAAAAGAGATGTACAAGTCAATATGATATAATACGAGGTAAAATGGCGTAGCCAGGAATCGAACCGAGTACATGTGCATTGTAAAGTGGTGTCTTATCCACAAGACCACTTTGTTTCACTGCTATTAACAGGTTCGTTTCGAGTTGTTAACATTTTCTGATGTTAATGGCTTTACAAAATATGATGATTAACTGCTTTTAATCCTTATTTGAGGAGGAGGGGGTGTCCCCCTAAAAACAAAGAGATGTACAAGTCAATATGATAAAAAGATGATGAAAATAATACGATGATGAAAAGTTCATAACGGTGAAGCATAGTGGTCATGTGCATAAGACATCGCTTCACAATGCAGATGTACTCGGTTCGATTCCAGGCTTTGCCTTTCTACCTCGCATTTTTTTTTCATCTCTTTTTTGTTTGTTTAGGGGACACCCCCTACTCCTCGACAAAGCAGTAAAATTAGTTTATCAGCATATGTTTTAAAGTCATTAAAAGCAGAAAGTATTAACATCTTGAACCGAACAAGTTAATATCGGTGAAGCACAGTGGTCATGTGGATAAGACATCGCTTAAAATTAGTTTATTAGCATATATTTCAAAGTCATTAACATTAGAAAGTGTTAACATCTTGAACCGAACAAGTTAATATTAGTGAAGCACAGTGGTCATGTGAATAATACATCGCTTCACAATGCAGATGAACTCGGTTCGAATCCCGGCTACGCCTTTCTACCTCGCGTTTTTTTTTTTTCATTTCTTTTTTTTTTTTGGTTTAGGGGACACCCCCTCCTCCTCAACAAAGGAGTACAAGTAGTTTATCAGCACATTTTTTTAAAACAAAAAAGTCATTAACAAAAGATAGTGTTAACATCTTGAACCGAACAAGTTAATAACCGAAAAGCACAGTGGTCATGTGGATAGGACATCGCTTCACAATGCAGATGTACTCGATTCGATTCCAGGCTTTGCCTTTCTACCCCGCATTTTTTTTTCATCTCTTTTTTGTTTGTTTAGGGGACACCCCCTTCTCCTCGACAAAGCAGTAAAATTGATTTATCAGCATATTTTTTAAAGTCATTAAAAGCAGAAAGTATTAACATCTTGAACCGAACAAGTTAATATCAGTGAAGCACAGTGGTCATGTGGATAAAACATCGCTTCACAATCCAAATGTACTCGGTTCGATTCCCGGCTACTCCTTCCTACCTTGGGTTTTTTTTCTTCATCTTTTTGTTTGTTTAGGGGACACCCCCTCTTCCTCAACAAAGGAGTAAAATTAGTTTATTAGCATATATTTTAAAGTCATTAACATTAGAAAGTGTTAACATCTTGAACCGAACAAGTTAATAAGAGTGAAGCATAGTGGTCATGTGGATAAGACATCGCTTCACAATGCAAATGTACTCGGTTCGACTCCCGGCTTTGCCTTTCTACCTCGTTTTTTTTTTTTTTTAATCATTTTTTTCTGCATATTAATTTGTCCTTCTCTTTTTTTTTCATGGGGACACCCCCTACTCCCCAACAAAGGAGTAAAAGTAGTTCATCAGCATATTTTTTTAAGTCATTAACATTAGAAAGTGTTAACATCTTGAACCGAACAAGTTCATAACAGTGAAGCATAGTGGTCATGTGGATAAGACATCGCTTCACAATGCAAATGTACTCGGTTCGATTCCCGGCTACTCCTTCCTACCTCGCGTTTTTTTTTTCATCTTTTTTTGTTTTGTTCAGGGGACACCCCCTCTTCCTCAACAAAGGAGTAAAATTAATTTATCAGTATATCTTTTAAATTTATTTACATTAGAAAGTGTTAACATCTTGAACCGAACAAGTTAATAACAGTGAAGCACAGTGGTCATGTGGATAAGCCATCGCTTCACAATGCAGATGTACTCGGTTCGACTCCCGGCTTTGCCTTTCTTTTCGTTTTTTTTTTATCATTTTTTTCTGCATATTAATTTCCTTCTCTTTTTTTTTGTTAAGGGGACACCCCTTACTCCTCAACAAAGGAGTAAAAGTAGTTTATCAGCATATTTTTTAAAGTCATTAACATTAGAAAGTGTTAACATCTTGAACCGAACAAGTAAATAACAATGAAGCATAGTGGTCATATGGATAAGACATCGCTTCACAATGCAAATCTGCTCGGTTCGATTCCCGGCTATTCCTTCCTACCTTGCGTTTTTTTTCTTCATCTTTTTTGTTTGTTTAGGGGACACCCCTCCTCCTCAACAAAGGAGTACAAGTAGTTTATAAGCATATCTTTTAAAGTCATTAACATTAGAAAGTGTTAACATCTTGAACCAAACAAGTTAATAACAGTGAAGCAGAGTGGTCATGTGGATAAGATATCGCTTCACAATGCAGATGTACTCGGTTCGACTCCCGGCTTTGCCTTTCTTTTCGTTTTTTTTAATCATTTTTTCTGCATATTAATTTGTCCTTCTCTTTTTTTTTGTTAAGGGGACACCCCCTACTCCTCAACAAAGGAGTAAAAGTAGTTTATCAGCATATTCTTTAAAGTCATTAACACCAGAAAGTGTTAACATCTTGAACCGAACAAGTTCATAACAGTGAAGCATAGTGGTCATGTGGATAAGACATCGCTTCACAATGCAAATGTACTCGGTTTATTCCCGGCTACTCCTTTCTACCTCGGGTTTTTTTTTTCATCTTTTTTTTTGTTTAGGGGACACCCCCTCTTCCTCAACGAAGGAGTAAAATTAGTTTATCAGCATTTCTTTTAAAGTCATTAACATTAGTAATTGTTAACATCTTGAACCGAACAAGTTAATAACAGAGAAGCACAGTGGTCATGTGGATAAGCCATCGCTTCACAATGCAGATGCACTCGGTTCGACTCCCGGCTTTGCCTTTCTACCTCGTTTTTTTTTAATCATTTTTTTCTGCATATTAATTTGTCCTCCTCTTTTTTTTTTGTTAAGGGGACACCCCCTACTCCTCAACAAAGAAGTAAAAGTAGTTTATCAGCATATTTTTTAAAGTCATTAACATTAGAAAGTGTTAACATCTTGAACCGAACAAGTTCATAACAGTGAAGCATAGTGGCCATGTGGATAAGACATCGCTTCACAATGCAGATGTACTCGGTTCGATTCCCGGCTACTCCTTCCTACCTTGGTTTTTTTTTTCATCTTTTTTTTTGTTTAGGGGACACCCCCTCTTCCTCAACAAAGGAGTAAAATTAGTTTATTAGCATATATTTTAAAGTCATTAACATTAGAAAGTGTTAACATCTTGAACCGAACAAGTTAATAACAGTGAAGCATAGTGGTCATGTGGATAAGACATCGCTTCACAATGCAGATGTACTCGGTTCGACTC